ACTTCTAGGTTTTCCAACTTCAAATGACTCTGAGCAGCTGAACATATAGAAAAACTGTAAAGTCAACAATAAAACCCAGTGGATAAGACGTCTTGAAAGGAAGACCACCAGCAGAGACAAAAGCAAGACAAGCCCCGGGGAACAGCCGCGATCAGGTGCAGATAGGCAACCGTCTCTCCTCTGCACTCCGCTCTCCCAGATTGTTCCATTGGACTGAGGGACAACTCTCAAGGCGGGGACTCACAAAAAGCTGCAGAGTGGCCGCCTTCTCCCCCTGACTTTGAATCCCCTAAACTGAGAGTGATTCAAATGATGCAGCCGAAGAAACTGGGGCCGAAACTGATCCTTCTAACAACACAGGTGGGAGATACACTCAGACTTTCCCACACACAGCAAAGAAATCAACAGGCTGCTAAACTGGGGAGAGCTGGTGGGTTGCAAAGATAAATAAATAAACGAGGAAGATAATCTGACAGGCCCTTAGCCCTTCAAGAAGAGTAAGAAGAGCCACTGGCCGGATCGGAGCAACCGCCCAGCCAGAGGCCCGTTCCTCCTTCCCACCCAGGGAATTTTTCGGAGTATAAGATGCACCTTTTTGCCTCCAAAAAGAGGCTGAAAATCTGGGTATGTCTTATACTCTGAATGTAGCATGAGCCATACTTGATGGGAGGGGGGAGTGAGAGGTATGGTGGCAGCAGTGGCAGCAATGGCGCCAACGGTGGCAATCGATGGCAAAAGTAGGTAGGATGACCTACCATCCGAGCTGCCCCGCCGCTCCTGGGCAAAATTAAAGCCACCGTTGCCACCGCCACTGCTGCCTCGCTATTGCCCGAGGAGACTGACCTGTTCCTGGGCAAAATCGAAAGTCCCAGCCGCCTCGCTGCTTCCCCAGGAGCCTGGCCGCCGCCTCCCTGCTGCCCAAGGAGCCTGACCTGCTCCTGGGCAAAATCAAAGCCACTGCCCCACCGCTGCCTGGATAAGCCGCCTGCTTCACCTGCTTCCTGCCCCAGACGACGCTGCCTGGAGAAGCCTGCCACCTGCTCCTGAGACACCGCACAGGTAACCCACTGGTTAGGGGTGGCAAGGGTCTTCAAACGTGGCAGCGGTAAGACTTGTGGACTTTACAGGTATGTTCCAGCAATCCCGAGGTAACATGACCGAAGGAAGAATTCTGGGAGTTGGAATCCACAGGTCTTAAAAGCTGTCAGCACTTTTGCAATGGCTTATTGCTTTAAGGTTTAAGGCTTGTTGCCTGTTTGCAGGTTGGGGTCAGGGTTAAGGCATATGGTATTTAGGGGGAGGGTGTAATGATCTAACGTCTGCGTATGAATGTGGTTTCAGCTACAGTGCACTGTGTTGTTATAAATGACACATTATTGTTCTTTTTTGCAGAAAAATGTCAAAGCCCAAAAGGCAGGCATCTACAATCTCTTTCAAGCTGGAAGTCTTGAAATATGCTGAGGAGCATGGAAACAGAGCAGCAGAGAAACATTTTGGACCGCCTCCAACTGAAAAGACGATAAGAGAGTGGAAGGAACAGGTGGATAAGCTGCAAAAGGTAAAAGATAAAAGCAAGCACAACTTTCGTGGGCTTCCTGCAAAGTGGCCACAGTTAGAGGAGGAAATGAGAGACTGGATCTCACAGGTCACCAGAACAGTGGCTTCGCAGTCACCACAAAAATGGTGATGTATGAAGCCAAACGCATTGCTACACGGCATTCAGGATTTTAGTGGAACACCATCGTGGTGCTTCAGATTTATGAGGCGATGTGGCCTTGCTATGCGCACCAAAACTAGAATTGTGCAAAGAATGCCAAAAGAGTATGAGGCTAAGATTCTGTCTCTTCATACTTTTGTGATAGATTCCAGGAGGAGAAATAATTTTGAGACTGGGAATATGGATGAAGTCCTGCTAACTTTTGATGTGCCATCAAACAGGAGTGTTGATGTCAAAGGTGCCCAAAGCATAACTGTAAAAACTACAGGACATGAGAAGACACATTACACAGTTGTGTTGTCCTGCTGTGCAGATGGCACCAAATTGGCACCAATGTTAATATTTAAAAGGAAAACCTTCCCAAAAGAAGTGATTCCAAGAGGTGGTGGTGGTGTTGTGCATGTCCATGAAAAAGGATGGATGGCTGAGCGTGGCATGAAAGTACGGATTGAAAAAGTGTGGTCCAAGCATCCTGGGGGGCTTCTGAAATAAACCAGCTTTATTAGTGTTTGACCAGTTTAGAGCACATATTTACTGACAACACTAAGAAAAGTTTCAAAGAAGCGAAGACCAATCGAGCTGTCATTCCTGGGGGGTCTCAGCAGCCAGTTGCAACCTCTTGATGTTTCCATCCACAAGCCATTCAAAGTTTACGTGCGAGAAGAGAGGGGAACAAACGGAGGGCTGCTGGAAATCATGCTCTGACACCCTCTGGATTAATGAGGCGGCTCATTGTCACTCAAGTTTGTGAATGGGTGAAAACCTCATGGAACTCAGTGAAGGATGAAACTGCTACACAACCCTTCAAAAAACGTGGCATTAGCAACGCCTTCGATGGGACTGAGGATGACATCACTCACGAAGGCAGCGAAGAAGAAAGGGACTGTGAGCAACTGAGCTTCCTAAATTCTGACACCAGCGACGATCAAGAGTTCTTGGGGTTTCCAGAAAATTAAGAGGAGTGCTTGAATCTTCAAGTCTCCTCTTTTGTTAATGACGGTGATGATGGTTCTTAGTACTGCTGTGGTCTTTACAGAATTGCAAAAAGTATACATTGTTTTAAAAAGTATACACGGTTGTAAAAATTCTGCTATACTGGCATTTTACCAAATAATACATTACTACACTATTTGGTTCAGAATACTTTTCTCCCTGTTTTCCTCCTCTAAAATCTAGGTGCATCATATACTCTGAAAAATACGGTACTTTTGTCCCACTGAGGACAAAAATCAGGTTCCCATTTAGACCAAAAGGAAATTCCGGTATTGCTCGAGAACCTTTGATTTTTCTATCTATTTCAAAGTCGCCTCTGCAACTGCAAACAGACCGAATGGAAGTTCTAAATTGTAACCAGCCTAAGAAAACAAGGCAGGCATCACGACTCCTTTATGGCGACCTACGGCCCAGAATCTACAAAACCACCACTCCAGTATTTCCACCTAAAAACATCCCAGCTTCCAATTTCCACGATTACCAAAAGGCCTTGGAAGTGGGAGAAGCGCACACTCAGCCTCCGGCCATGGCTCCCCAGAGAAGCCCTCCGCTTCCTCAAACTCAGGGTCAAGAGGTTGGTTCTTCTAGGAGCCCAGGCAATGATAACACAAGGCGGAGGAGGGCCCCCTTCTCCTGCCCGAGCATGGCGGGTGGGGGGGTTCTTTGGCCACCTAAATCGCCAAGCGCTTCATGGACTCATCCAGAGCAGCCTTTGTCTTTCCAGGAGGACCTCCTCTGCTGCAGGCAGAGGGACACATTTGGGTTTCCCGCTTCGGCAGAGAGCTTGCCTTGGGGGAGAGGGAGGAGGCTGCCTGGGGGGCGTGAGGGGGGGCCTCTTATCCTCTCCTGGGACATGGAATGAAGTGGGGGAGGGAAAGGGGGGCGGGGAGAGCGGAGGCTGCCAGAGGGGCACTGGGGGGACTGG